AGTTTTCTGAGGATTCCTATTTTTGTTTGGCTTTGATCAGAAAAATATCGGCCTCATAGGACATGTTAGGCAGTGCTCTCTATTTTTCTGAGAGAGTCTGTGAAAGATTGGTATTATTTCTTTAAAACTTTAACAGAAAACACCACGGAGCCATCTAGGCCTGGGTTTCTCATGATGAAGTTTTTAAGTACTAATTTATTTTCTTAACTAAGATTTTCTAATTCTTCGTGGTGCTGGGGATTGAACCCATGGTCTTGTGTATGCAAGGATAGCACACTACCAACTGAACTGTATCCCAGGCTCTAATTTGTCTTCAATAAATCTTAGAAACTTTTATTTAATCTTTTTTTATTCAAAAATGGGCCCATCTTATCTAAAATGTCTTGTTGCTATGAATATGTTCATATTATCTTCTTATAGTTCCTTAATTTTTGTAAACTTGGCAGTGAATTAGTCTTCTCATTTTGGTTATTTGTGTTCTTTATTTGATCAATCTAGCTAAAACTTGTGTTTTGTTTATCTGTAAGAGCTAAGATTTTATTTCACTGATCTTCACTGTATTATTTTCTTCCTTCTTATTCTGGGTTTAGTTAGGAAGTTTATGTTATTGGTTTGCAGTCCTTTTTTCTTTTCTGAGACAGCAGTACCCTCTTGTTCACAGGGGATACATCCCAAGATCCCCAGTGAAGGCCTGAAGTCACAGGTAGTCTGTTCTATATTTTTTCCTATGCAAACACATCTGTGCTACTTTAATTCATAAATCAGACACAGATTTTAAAAAAAAAGTAGTAGTGAGGTAGAGCAATTTTAACAATATGCTTTAGTGAAAGTTATGTCAATATGGTCTCTCTCTCAAAATGAATTCTACTTATGGCTTCTCTCTAGCATATCAGAACTGTCAGCATCACTGCTCTTGTACTTTGGGGCCAGCATCAAGAAACACAAGGACTTGAAAACAAGCACTGTGACTGTGGTAGTCAACCTGACAACACAGTTGGCTAAGTGATTAACAGCACAGGTTCGATGGGGAAAGGGATGATTCACAACCCAGGCAAGGCAACATTTGACAACAAGAGATTCAGTGGCACTACTCAGAATGGCATGCAGCTTATTTCTGAATTATTTCTCAAATTTTCCAATGCAGTTGATTGCCAGTAAATGAAACCATGGGATGAAAAACTGTGGATGGAGGGGAACAAACATGTGTTTATAGCTATAAATTTCCTTCTTCAGTACTTCTTGAGCTTCATCCATGTATTTTGATGTTTTCATTTCATACAGCTGAAATTACTTTGATTTTCTTTGTGATTTCTCCTTTGACTCATGGCTTATTCAAAGTGTACTTTAACATCCAAATATTTGTGGATTTTCCTGATTTCCTTCTGTTGTTACCTCTGACTTAATGATGCTCTTATAGTATGAAAAACACTGTGTATCACTTTAATCCTTTTCAATTTATCAACATTTTTGGATGACCTACTTTATGGTCTGTCCTAAAGAATATTGTGTGAACATACTCCTGTGGCTTTCCATGGACTTTGGGGGGTTTTGTCTTGTCATTTAGCGCTGGGGACCCAACTAGGCCCTTGTGAATGCAAAGGCTGCTCTTCACCACTGAGCCGTACGCCCAGCCCCTCCAGTGACTACAGACCAACAACTGGCTTTCTACCCACAGGACCTTACATCAACTGGTCCTGCGCATATCCATGCATTCATTATGTAACCTTCATCATTTCACTCAATTTAACTCTTCCTGTTATTGCAGGCTTGCTCTAAGAGTCTGAATGTACTATTCTCCTAGATTGGGACTCTTCTACCTTATCATTCTGGTCAGAGCTCTAACATCCCCTTCTTGAGGTCTTTTCTAATGATCTCACTTACTTTATATTGCACCTCTGCTAATTCCTTTATTACACCATCCTATTTTCTTCATAGCATTGACCCTATCTAAAACTTACCAGTGATCATTTTGCATTCTGGCCTGCTTACTGGGCTCACCAAGTGATAGTTATCTTTGAGTCCACAACCATAATTGTTTCCAGTATTCCTCTCAACAAGTTTCTGATGGTAATTTTATTACTGCCCTGTTTCTCTGCTGTCTCCTTCCTAAACTGCTGACATTGTGCCCTGGAACTACATCTATTAAGCTTTCCCCCATTACCAACTATTTCACAGAAACTGTGGGTTATAGGCTTCCCTGTTTCCTAGTTAAGCTACATGCATGGGCTATAAGTGGGGTTTTTTTTAAAATACTACTTGATTTTTTATAGTTTTATTTATTTATTTATTTATTTTTATGTGGTGCTGAGGATTGAAGCCAGCACTTTGCACATGCTCTGCACTCTACTGCTGAGCCACAGAGCCAGCCCCATAAGTAGTTTTTATTTACTCTTCTTGTTTGTATGTTTGGGGAGTATGTGTGGACAAATTTTGAATTGCCATTCATTCTAAGGTTATATCAACACATCTTAAAATATATTTAATAAATTATGCTAATATTTTAATAAAGTTGTTTCAATTAGTAAATGAGAAAAAGCTAGAAAAATTCACCCATCTATATAGAAATGATATTAATGACCTTTGTAATAAAACTTTATTAATATGTTGATCTAAAATAAACATATAACATTATTTTGCCATTTATAAGATAATTAAAACTTTTTAAAAAGGAGGAATTTGGAAGGCTAGGTTTCTATACATGTTTAAAAAGTTTAAAAAAGAAAAATTTGGGAAGTTTCCTTTTAGAAAGCTGATCATATAGTTAAAAAAAAAAAAAATCTTGCCATGCACTTTGAAGTTCAGGAGGTAGATCCAGGGCAAATGCAAGTCCTCCTAGGAAAGCCTCCTTACAAACTGGGAGCAGCTCACCAGAGGTCTCAACACCTGTGCTTTCTGACTCTGTCTTCATCCAGCTGCTGGCTTAAGGGCTTCACTTTCAATTACGCCCTGGTAAAACTGTGCAAGACTGATTCCTAAAGGTTTCTGAGGGCTCAGATGACAGCAGACAGTCAACACAAGTAACACAGTGAGGTTAGGCCTTCTGGGTCTGGATGGAAGCCCGGCATCAACACTCATTCTGTGAGCTTAGGCAATTCAACTTCTGAACCTTGGTTTTCTCATCAGTACTAAGATGATGATAGCTACTTTGTAAGATTGTTGGAAAGGCTAAAAAGTTAATGCAAGTGATGGTGACATTAGCTACCACTACTCTCATCACACTGGCTTATTTAGGAGCGGTGGAAAGATACCACATGAAGAGCAAAAGGTGGGAAGAGTTATACACTCAGGTTGCAGTGGTGGCCTTGTTTAATCACCAGCAAAGCTCCTCTTAGAAACGCCTTTCTATTTATGTGATTGCCACCCTTGAGGAAATTAATAAAGTGATAAATAAGACAAAGTTTCTGGAGGGAAAAATGAAATGCAAGTCACTCCACAGCATAGCTGCCCTACTGCTCTTCCTACAGGATTATCATCTGTAGACACCTGACCTTTAAGCTAAATGGCCAAACCACTTACTAACCACTCATCAAGTGGTTGTTTTTGCAAAGCCAGGTAAACTGTCTCTAAAGGATAACCAAAGACATCTACTGAATGCTGGTGATGGTGTAGGAATCCACCCTAAGTTTTGAGAAGCCATGGTCTCTGAAGGTAAAAGATGGCTAAATTTCATAAGTACCTGTGGATTTGTACCTGTTAAGTCCTGCTCACTAATGTGCTGCTAGGAGCTCCTTAGGGATGTCTCAAAAAGAGGAGGAATAAATCACTTAATTATTTGGCAAAAACTGTAAAGGCAGGTTGATGACTATAGAGGGGGAAAATACACTAAGACTGTCCTGTTTATAAGGTGATTTCCAAATTCTTAAGGAGTTTGATATATAGAACAGTGGTAGAAAACTTGGCCAGCATGCATGAGGTCTTGGTTTCAATTCCCAGTACCCCCCACCTCCACACACACACAAATTCCTTTGATCTCAGTGTGGTGGCACATTTCTATAGTATTAGCTATTAGACACTGAGGCAAGAGGATCGCTTGAGCCCAGTTGAACACAGTGAGATCCCATCTCAAAACAAAACAAAAATCATAAGGAAATACAGAAAGTCCAGAATAACCAGGGAAAAGAAGCACTATAAAGGCCTCAGGCCAGCTGACATCAAGAGCCATCATGAGGATGCAGAGATTGTAACAGTGGACACAGTTTCAAAGATTAACAAGTTGGCCAGTGGGTAGAAGAGAGCCCAGAAATAGGTCCCGCCAGGATCCTACACAGGACAATTGTGAAATCGACAGTGAGGAAGGGACAGTTTTTCTCAATAGATAACACTGGATAGCTGGAAATCCATAAGGTAACATTTCTTCCTTAAACCCTACCTCTCATTATTAACACAATTCAGCAAATTTCAGATTTAAATGTGAAAGATAAAAAAGAAAAAAACATAATAGAGCACCTTCATGACCTTGGAGTAGATGGAACACTGCTTATTCAGAACATGCTCACTATGAAGGAGAACATGAGGAAACTGTTCTCCATTAAAATGCAGAACATTTTTTTTTCACCAAATATATTCATAAAACACAATGCATTCAACAAGACTTGTATCCAGAAGAGATACATTTAAAGCACCACGTCAATGTTAAGACAATCAATGCAACAGAAAAATGGGCACTTTCACACAAGGACAATCCAGGGCCAATATAGTAGTCTATGGAAAGTGCTCAATCTCATTAACGATCAGTGCAACAAAATCTGAAGCCACAAGATGCCATTGCACACCCATAAGGATAAAGTGAAAAAGACCCACACCACAGTTGGTGAGACTATGGGACAACTGCAACTCTGGAAAGCTGGCAGTAGTCAATAAAGGAAAACATGACACATGTACTGTGGCCCTACAGTTCTACTCTACGGCAGAACTATAAAACTACGTGCACAATAATTCATGTGCTAGAATAATCGGGGAAGTACCAACAGTTCCAAAGTTGTAAATGAACCAAACATCCATCAGATAAATAATATGTGGTTTATTCACAGAATGGAATACTATACAACTGTGAGAATGAACCATGTACAAATACTTACAACAAAAAAATTCACATACTGTTGAGTGAAAGAAGCCAGATACAAAGAATGCATAATGTTCGATTCCATTCACATAACATCTCAAACAAGACAAAACTAGTCTATGCTCTTCTAGCTGGATAGTGGTTATCATGTGGGGCGGGGGGGGGGGGGAGACAGTGGTCAGAAGGAAGCCTGAGAGGAACCTGGGTGTGAGTGCATGTATGCATTCTGCTAGTGAAGTGTCACTGAGGTCTGTATAGATGTCCTTCTTCAATAAAAAGTGAGAACAAAACCATCTGCCTCTGCCTGGCTCCTCTGCTCAGACTTGCATTCTCTGCTCAGCCAAGGTCCACTACTTGTGCTGCCTCGCAGGTGGTGTGAGGAGCAGTGCTCCCCAACACAGAGACCTGCAGGTTTGGCTGCTGGCAGCAAGCCTCACCCTGTGAGTCCAAGCCCAGCTTTCCTCCTCACCAGCATGTTCAAGTACTGGAGCATGCTCTCTACCTCTCTCCACAAGCCTCTCCTTCAGGAACCAATGCTCTTCTCAGGAAATTAAGTACTCAAGTTTTGAGCCCAAATGGTGGAGCCCCAACAGCTAACACCTCAGGCTTCAGGTAGTGAATGGGCAAGGATCATCTGGACCACACCCTTGGAGGTTTGTGACATGCAAGTGGACTGCAGGCACATCTTGGATGGGGTGATAAATTGCTGCCTTTGTTTTGGGCAAATCTGTATCCTCTCTAACCCAATTTTCTCACTGAAAGGAAAATAATGGTGCTCACACAGTTGTTGTAAGGATCAAAATGAATTACCATATGTAAAACATTTAGAAAAGCAACTGATACAAGGTAGGAGATTCATAAATGTGAGCTGTCAACTTTGGCTTTGTCTAAGGTGTGCTCTCCCCAAGGAAGGATGACCCAGGGTGAGTCTAGAGAGTAGAGGGCTTGGGGTTCACCCAGAAGTCCCCACAGCCAAACTTTAGGGCACATTTCCAGGTATATTATGTCTCAATTCTGCAGAGAAGCATACAGGTACATGCGTCAGGACTAAATGGAACAGAGAGAAACTGTAAAACACAGCAGGGCAGAAAAGCTGACAATCCCTGGCCCAGTCCCATATGGATCTACTACTAAGTAAACATGCAGTCACTGCATTCAAATAAAGAATCAGGACCATTGCTATCAGAGGGAGGGACATAAAACATTTCTCAGATGCATAGTATTTGATGTAACAGCAGCTAGCGAGGTGGTGCCATCAGACCCAAGTGTAATATGACCACTGGGGCCTAAACATCACAGGCATTTTGGTACAACTTCTATTCCAGGGTCCAGGCCCCTGGATATGGCCTCTACTTTGCAAGCCTAGAGACCTCTGCAGTGACTGGCTCAAGATGACCTGCGTACAAAGCCTGAGGTAGATGAGGGAAAGTCAGCTTGTGAAACAAAACCACCAGAGGAGTCACATTGCCACTCTGAACCTGTGGGTAGGCCTACACAAGAAGCTGCATCTTCATCAAAAGGAAACCTGAGGGCTAGGGAAATAGCTCAGTTGGCAGAGTGCTTGCCTTGCAGCACCACAAAAAAGAAAAAAAAAAAAAAAGGGAAACCTGAATGCAAATCAGAGTATCACACTGGCAACAAGCTAAGAGGCTGAAGGATACGTTCTGCTTTTCACTAAGCAACACTGCACCCTACCTCACCAGGTGCTTGCTTCACTCACACCTGCTGGTCTGATCATCTAACACGTGAAGTCAGGCAGTGATCACACTTCCTAGACTTCCAACATGGGGTGAAGGAGTGGGCCAAGGAACCCACTGTACTGACCATGAACCTTTCAGTCATTACATGCTCATTAACATAAGCGAAAGCCTCTACTCAATGCCTTTTCTCACTGAAGCCAGGCTAAAGTTTTCTTGGGAAACACAGTGGACTCAGGCACAAGAAGGCTCAGCTCACTATGCCAAGTCAGGTCTGCCACCCGCTGCAAATGAGAATGCCAGAGGTGTGGTTGAAACTGCTGGAATTTACTAGCTCCCCTCCCTGAACACTGTGGCCACCACTTTCCCTGAGTAGATTCTAGGCCCAAAGAATTCAATGTTAGTGTTCTTGGTAGCACCACAATGTGGCCATGTTCCTACAACAATTATCTGCTTCTCAGGTTGTGTCTTTCCTAAATAGCTGATCTGATCTTCATTTCTAATTTCATACTTGGAGGATAACTACTGAGCAGGTCTGTGAGTACCCTGGAGCCACTCCCATGAACTGCCTACCTCAATGGTCTCTTCCTGGCCCAAAAGAGAAAAATCAGGCCCCTCTCATTGGATGTGTCTTGAATCAACCATTCAGACTATGGGATGTTCCAGCTTTCTCCTCTGGTGATGGGTAATGATGAACAGGGTGCCTTTTCCAGTCCTTCTCCTAAAGGATCATCCTCAGTCACTGTCCAGACACTTAACTGTTGCAAGGAGAGGTAGGGGAGTGGAAGAACAGGTAAGGCAGAGCAGCACACAAAGCTCATGGGAGAAGGGTGATTGCCTAAATAAGAGCACAGTGTGCTCCTCCCACACCTCCCTAGCACAATTACCAAACCTCTGCTGGCCAATAGTGGTCTCCGGCCAGATACACTAATGCTAGTTTTCCGAGTGACGTAAGGCAAGCCACCATCAAGGCAAAAAGACTTGATTTTTGTAAAACTGACAGATTGCAGAAGGAATAGAAATAAGGAAGGAAATTCTTGCTAAAAAGCTTGTTACTCTAACACCATGAGCAACATATAAACCAATTAAAAGACTATGTTTCTAAAACAAGTACTGTAGATAAATATAGAAAGTAATGTCTTTGTAAGCCATGCTTTAAATAAACCATTTAAAAAAGAATACACAATCGCTCTACTTTGATCTTAATGTTTCTCAGTTCATCCAAACACTGGCAAGTTTCCTGAATGCTGGCATAACATAAGGACAACAGTTCATATAAGCATGTTCTGGAAGAGTAGTCAATTATATAAATGACAATTTTAATGACAATTAAAATGGTTCTGAAATTGCTTACTTCTGCACGGGAACCTGGATCTAACATCAGTGAGGATTAATCTGAAGTCTAAGCATTTACTTCCTCTACAGTCCTATGTGCCTGTTGCAGTTACATATACAAATTTGAAAAAATTTCCAACAGGCTTACAAGAAAGGGACTTTCACTAAATAAATCTTGAGAAAAATTAGTTATGGCATCACTGTTCAATGAAGAAAGGTAAACATCTAATTACAATTTTGACAAATGGATATATTAATGCTATTGTAGGAAATTAAAATTCCAAAATAACTCTATGTTGCTATCTAAAATGTTCTAAACAGTTTCAGAATTGCAACATATTAACAAATAATTATTCATATCAAAATGCAGTTGATAAAAATTCTAGCTAGGCAACTTTTATGACTATCTAAAAATCAAGTTTTAAATTTATAACTTTAGCAATATATATTGAACACTTGCATTCAAATGTACAGAAAGCAATCCATTTAATCTTGAAAACTAATATGTAACAAAACATGGAAATGAGCCCACACTGGTAATCCAGAATGTGCCCTCTCCACCGCGCAGCTGCAGCAAGTATGACATGTAAACAACACTCGACAACCCAGCACTGTGAAGAATTCAGCTGCTTCAACAAGTTGTGTTATCGTTTTTATAAGCTAAGACAGTACAGTCAAATGGAATTCTTAGAACATTACCTGAAAATAGATTTTAAAGACAAAGGTCCCAATTCATTCTTACCTATACACACCAAGTTAATCTGTCACAGACAGCAAATGCTGAATTTACACACTGGAGTTTCCGGCAGCATCCTGTACATTTACAATTAATTTATAATTAAAATAAACAAGAGAGCTGTCATATCTATGAGATGGATTGTTCAAATCTGTGTAGGGTGGAGAATTGCTTTGGGGCCACTGCATAAGTGCTCACTGCTGCTTCTCAAAGGCAAAAACCAAGTAAATACCTAAAGAAAAATAAAAAATATTAACAGTTTACTTTTTTCTCATCCATAGGATAAACAAATCTCAGTCCAATTCATAATCTGGTGAAAATTCTTAGGCTGGCATTTGAAGAAGAAAAACTTCATTCGTTTTTCAGGTTCTTCTATTATCTGAGTCATATTTAGGCAGAGATGGGATCATTTCTATTTTTGCTTTAAAAAAAAAAAAATCAACCTGGTACAGTAATAATACCAAATTCCATGGGGAAATCAATTCAACAGCTCTAAAAGCCCTAAAAACCATTTAGGGCAAGAAAAACTAAAAGTATAAAAGCAAAGAAAACTAAAATCAAAACATCTTATAACTCAAATCTTTTTACTTGAAACAAAGTATTTAGACAGAATAATTACATTATAATAAACACTAGTGGCAATGGAAATCTAAATTTTCTGTTTAAAAAGACTCAAAAACAACATGAAGATATAAAAAAAGGGGCATAATTTAAAACTAGTCAGAGAAAATATAAAGGAATATATACAACATGACACATTCAAATTCATCCAATTACCTAATTGTGTTGTAGGGCCCAGGAAGGATATTTAAGGTACTATTTAACTGTCCCCAACAGTAACATTTCTGCATGCATTTATTTCCATGAGAACTTGCTTAAATAAGATATCTTGCTTTGACAAGTGATCACTCGAAGGCAGCTAAATGAATCTGATTCCCTGTTCTGCATTACACTGAAGTCCAAACCTATTACATCTTCTAATAAAATACCAATAGACTGTAGGGCAAAAATACTCCAAAAAGGGGACAAATCCTGAAAACACCACAAGGGATGTTCAGGGCACTAGATACTCAACAGCAAGTCAGGACAAAGGCCATGTAAATTAAGCTGACTCTGGAACCTGCACAGGAAGATATACCTGTCTTCATAAAACTCTACCTTGGTCACATTACTCTGCTGCTCCTTATTTATTAGCTTTGCATTTCTTTCAGTTGAAATGAAATGTGGCTGCCACATGCAGATGCATGAGCAGGAAACAGTCAATGATCAACCACCACACAACCCTGCATGCATAGGCAGGCCAAGAGACTTAGTGGCCAGATGGCTTACAAGGGCTGGTCCCCTCCTCCATGTGATCCTTCTGTAATGTAGCCCTGCCAAGTCACATACCCTGTCTAACTACTGCCACTGCAAGGACCCCTGGGTATAACTATGGCCACTGCCATGACTGTCTGGTTCTCTCCATCTGCTGAAGAAATGCCTTGCTTCAGAGACCTGCCAGACCCCTGGATTCTCCTTTGAAGACAGGGCCGCACTTCAGCATGCTTTCCTGTCAGGCCTGTTTCCCATCCACACTCCTCCCAAGATCCCCGGCCCACTGCGGCTTCACTAAAGGTTCTAGTATCATGACTTCACTGCCATCATTGGAATGGCCAGAACTAAATAAAATACACAGACGTGACATCTAAGCCAAAAAATATTTTGAGGTGAAGACCCCAAATAGAGACAGCTGTTTAGTTTTAAGGAGGCAGTGAAAAATGTCTATGCATGCTAGAAAAAGTTAGGGCTTGGCAAGAGCCTGCATATATTTTCTCTAGTTATTCCACAGTTGTGCAAGAAAAGTGGATGGGACATACACAGAGACACAGGTAATTTTTGTGCTGTTTTAAACATCAACACATAGCACCTCAACTGTGTCAGAAAAATTCTAAAATTTTCCACTTTTAATGATCCTTTCAAATAATCTGTAATTATCAGTTAACCAGCTTTTATGATGTACTCACTTGTAGCTTCCCATTCTGATTTACTTAAGGTTCCCTAAAATTAAAAAGAAAGACAATTTTAGATATAACACGGAAGTAAACATACACTGATTTTTTTCAATAGTGGACTAAGAAGGCCACCCACCCTCCCAACTTTCCTGTAAGCATATGCACAAATTACTGAAAAGTATCAAGACCTGAGCACATAAAAGAAACCAATGAGAGTTAGCTTCCCCCACCACCAGGGCTGTACTAGGTATTGATCCCATGGCATATCACATTCTAGGTAATAAGCACTCTGCCACTAAGCTATGTCCCAAGCCTGAGATTAATTTTTAAAAACATCTTTTCACCGCTTGTGTCCTCCCACCAAAAAGGGTGAATGTATCTAAAGTATTTAATTTTTTTTACTTGAAAAATGAAAAAAATTTAAAGTCCATCTTATAACATCAAAGAGCACTTGAAGAATATTTTTCTGTTTTCCAAAAGAACTCTAAAAGAAAGTACAGACCACACAAAAGAAATTATGTTTAGTTATCAAAACATTGAACATTTCAGTCTAAAAACATGTGCTGCTATACACTCATCCAACAAGTGCTAGTGGCAGCTCTTGGACCTAATTCAATTCTGAAGAAGCAATGAATGGAAACAATATTCCAGGACACCAGAGAAGCATGCCATCATGACAACTATAGCTTCCACTGTGACAAAAACACAGCAACAGCAGACACCACCATGGTACAGTTATGTCCACAAGTTAAAAAGAAGATCGTCCACAGAAATGAGAATGAGGATGTCCTTCCCCCATTCCAGCCAGAGCACTCAGCCCTGAGTCAGCAGCACCTAGGGAAGCAGGGCAACCTGTAGACTGTGCCTGTAACGTTCCCCATGTCTACTGTCTCAGATATAGCACTCATGCTCAATTCACCTAAATAAGTTTGATTCTATATTCTGTGGCACCAAAGCCATTATAAATTAGGGGAAGCATACTATGGTATATTCGAGTTATAACTCACTGAACCCAGTACTGTAAACAAGTGGGTTTCCCACTTGTACATGTACACACATCTTAATGTATGCTTTTCCCATTTCCTAGAAAGTACTTCAAAAAATGAACCCTTACCAAAGGTAACCTTACGTGACTGTTCTTCACATACTCTGCTGCATGTTCATAGTCATCCACCTTCTCAGAGATGAGCTTGGAATTCTCATTTGCAGGATAAGGCTAGGGGAACATTAAATTCTAACTGAAAATATCACATTGACATTTACAATTCAGAACACAGTAAATCACTGCAATAAAATAATAGGAGTAATCCAAAAGTGCTACTTCAGGGTTATAAACTACACATATTTCTGAAATATGGAGGAAAAAAGGTGGGGAAGTGTTATGAGGTGGCCACCAAAAGATCATGTGTGAGAATGATCAGAGATAAAATGATTAGTTTATGAGTTGTAGCTCAATCAATGGACTAATCCACTGACATAGATTAACTGGGTGGTAACTGTAGGTAGTAGGGTGTGGCTAGGGAATAGGTCACTAGGGTTGTGACTTTGGGGTTTATATTTTTTCCCTGGTGAGTGGAATTCTCTCAACTTCCTGGTTGTCATGTCCTAAGCAGCTTTGCTCTGTCATGCTCCTCCACAATGATGTTTGCCTTACCTTGGGCCCAGAGCTATGGAGCTGGCTGACCGTGGACTGAATCTCTGGAACCATGAGCCCCAAATAAACTTTTCCTCCTCTAAGTTGTTCTTGTCAGGTCTTTAGGTCACAGCAATGAAAAGCTGACTAAAATGGAAGGAATCCTCTCTTAAAGCAGTTATTATGGCCAATTTTTATCACAATATTGGAATATTCATGGCTGGAACAAACTATATAATTTAATTACAACCCAGGACCATTTAGTGGCACAGACTGCATCTTCTTAACAGCCACTCAGAGATTTCTTCTCTTAGAATACAAATCTTAGAAGAGGTATTACCAAAAGAGCTAAATGTTAATATGATGGCAATGCAATAGCAATTAGAAAAAATACATATAAAAAATTCAAGTCAACAGAAGCCCTTGTTTAGGATAGTAAAACATGTGGCTGGAAACAGTAGCATGTGCCTGTAATCCCATGGACTCAGGAGGCTGAGCTAGGAAGATTGCAAGTCCTATCTCAGCAACTTAGTGAGACCCTGTCCCCCCGCAAAAAAAAAAAAAAAAAAAAAATGTCGAGGATGCAGCTCAGTGGTAAAGCACTTCTGGGTTAATACCCAGTACCACCAAAAAACAAAACAGAAGATGCAAGTTCAAAAAGGTAAGACTTTTATGGCAAATATCAAACTTAAATCTTTTAGACTAAAGCTAACTGTTCTTTCCACCTCTGGTCTCAATGCACCTCCAAACCGTCCTCCATAATGCAACCCAAGTAACATCTTCTTATCAGGTCCTGGCCACTCTTTCAAGTCATTTAGAGGCCATCGGAAGAGTCTTGGTCAAGAAGTAGGAAAAAACTAAAGGACTTTTCCAAGCTGTGTGCTATCATTGCTTATGTTCCAGAGAGCCATCGTGATAGGTCACATTTTCAAGGCAGCACAGGGGAGAAGGAAAAATGGAGAAGAATGTGCTAAAGAAATACGACATTTATTACTACTTGCTTAAGCATCCACAGCTCTCATGCTTCTCAGCCTTTTCCCTTCATGACTTCATTTTCAAGACGGCTAGTACTCTCACATCATGCTAAATTCTTTGCTTGTGTGTATAAGTGCTTAACACACCATAAATCCTTGGTATCTTATACTCCATCTTCTAAGTACATTTTAAATAAGTTACACAAATGAATTCATCACTAGTGTGCTAAGCATAAATAACCATTGGGTATGCAAAGCCTGTCAGTAAGCGCAGTGTGCTAAAGGCATAAAGCACGTGGAGACATAAGATGCAGAGTTTCCAGTTTTCTCCTCTCCATCAAGACAAACAAAATAAGCTCCTGCTCTGAATACAGCACAAACAAAAACATTCCTAATTCTAAAATACAGGAAACATAACTAATGAACATTTGATTGACACTGGGTTGCAAAAGACCACTTAAGACTTAAAGAAAATCTTCTCACTTCATCTTGTGGGCATGGATGCAACTTCAACATGAGACTTTTGACTACTATCTATAACACTAAACAAAATATAAAAGCTAATAGCTATGTGAACTTGAACAACTCATTTTTCCTCTTTGGGCCTTGGGTTGCCCATTCAAGATGTGAAAAGTTAAGATGGGGGCAGATGGCAGGAAAATCAAAGGGAAATCAGTAAAAGAAAGGAACTAAGGAGTAGGAGTGAGGGAAGAAGGAGGGAAGTGCTAGGAAGTAATAATGGCTAAATTACATTCATATATGACATATATGTGTACAAATGTGTCACAACAAATCCCATTGTTATATACAACTATAACGCACCAGTAAAAAATGTGGAAAAGAGTACAGAAAAAGGGGGAGGGGCTGGGGATGTAGCTCAAGCCGTAGCGCGCTAGCCTGACATGCGTGCGGCCCGGGTTCGATCCTCAGCGCCACATACCAACAAAGATGTTGTGTCCGCCGAGAACTAAAAAATATTAGAAATTCTCTCTCTCTCTCTCTCCTCTCTCACTCTCTCTTAAAAAAAAAAAATATTCTGAATTCAATGAACTCTCTGAACTTTAATGCTATTTTAAGTATACTTCTGGTCTGTGATCCTGGTCAACAATAAGCATCTCACTGAATAGTTGAGATCTGTCCAATTAAACACTGCTTGATAAAGGAAAAAAAGAAATGCAATCAATGACTGTTTATAGTTTGTAGACGCCTTCACTGCTTTATTAGGAGGACAAGAGACCCAGCAACAATAGCATAACAGACTAAAGTCTTGCTAAATAGTTATCAAAGATCAAAATTACAAATGGTGTGAGCTTATCTTACACTTTGGCCAAGAAGGTTCTAAAATTCTGATGTAATCAGGGCAGTGTTGTAAAGAAACCGTTTTCATCCGTGGGTAATTTTACCTGCCAGGGGATATTTGCCTGTGTCTGTTACTGGGGCCCAGGAGTACTATTGGCAGGCATCTAGTGAATAGAGCCAGGAATGCTGCTGAACACCCGAGGGTGCCCAGAACAGCATCTCACCACAAAGAAATATCCAGTCCCCCATGCCAACTGTCCTGAGGCTACTGTAAAACAGTGCACTGAATTTGATAACACCATCATTCATTCATTCATTAAGTAGTTACTTAGTACCCATCATGGAAAGTTTCTGTATCAAGCTCTGTCCTAGGAGCTGAACAGTCCTGAGCAGTTATGACAATCTGTGTAATATAAATATAACATATGACACACCTAACTAGTATCTAAACAGACTTGAAAGTATCTCAAGAGCAGTCAAACAAGTTCACCACATCTGGAATTTTTTTATCTTTTCTAAACACTTACCTCCAGGGCCTGCATTCGTTTTAATAGCATTTTATTTTCATTGTTCTTAATTTTTTCTTCATAGAATTCCAGAAATGTTTTTTTGTAGACTAGTTTCATATTGTACTTCTTTGCCATTCTGTCCAAAAAAGATTAATAAAAAGGCTTTCAAAATGTTCCTCAGCAGCTTACTTTTGCAGTGAAAACAGTGACATCAGGGCTTAACTCTAAAAGTGATTATTTCTATCATAAATTTATAAGAGTTAAAAGTAAAAAACTGAAGAGTTGACATACTGATAACCCCACCAACAAAGACATGCATTCTAAATCCTAGTGAGTAGGTTCTGTTTCCTAAAAAGTCAGTCAGGAAATGAAAGAAAGAATAACTTCTCAGGGGCTGCAGGGAATACTTTTTTACCAATTCCATTTTATTTTGGTTGATACACTATGGCTGCATTGAAAACAGCTGCCAGCTGCCTTTTTAAAAGACTCACTCTCATCTCTCTGGCAGGATGCACTATTAACTTTAACACACGTCTTGGACTGCTTCTTTTTAGTTTATTTTATAGGTTTCTTTTAATCTGACTTCTAAGTTTCAAGGGTTTGAGAGAGTGTGGCTCAGAGCCTCTCTTGCCTGTCCTGACTACCCAGCATGCTGAAAGCTGAGGCTCGCTCTCTCCGGTCATATTCCATTACTCCATTGCTTATCAGATACCACTCCCCCGTGTGTCATGTCCTCGAACTTCTCATATCCAAGGCTGAACCTCATGACTGCTTTTCTGCCAATCTCTGCTACTGCAGTAGATCCATGTCTTGGTCTCCTACACGGACTATGCTTGTACTTGACCAACCCCTTTACTTGCCACCATCCTGCACCAATCATCATCATTTCGCTGTTTCAGTCCAGAAACCATTTTACTCGTCTCCTGTTTCCAGTTTTATCCTCTCTCAATAGGACCAAATAAGTTTTCAAAAAGATAACCTTGGTCTTATCACTACCCTCTTTAGCCTCCTTCACTGAACTCCAGTGTACTTGGGACACAATTTGGAAGCTCTGAACATGGCTTCTGAGGCACTCATTTATAAAGGGATGCTGCCATCTCTCAAGTGGCTGGGCCCTGATTCCCTATGATCCAGTCACAGTGGCTTTCCTTCAGTTCATGGGACTAGCCAAGCTTTCCCACTTCCAGACTCTCGCACAGTGTCCTTTATGTTAGAAACATTCTTCCTGCCTTCAACTATCCATTCATCCTTCGTACCCTGACTTAGTGCTCCTTCACAGGTGTCTTCCTGAAATCCTCAAGTGTCTCCTATTACACCATGGGTTTGTTTTCTCCACTCTATTTGCAAAGTTTATAAAAATTATGTAGGTGTTGACAACAATAAGAGCCTTAATGATTTTAAGGAGCAGGTAAGGAGGAGAGGGGAAGCTGGGCATAGTGGTGCATACCTGTAATCCTAGCTACTCAGAAGGCTGAGGAGAAGGATCACAAATTTGACTCCAGCCTATGCAACTTAGCAAGCTCTGACGCAAATAAAAAGGGCTGGGGACAGCTCAGTAGAAGAGTGCTTTCCTAGCATGCAGGAGGTCCTGGATTCAATCCCAGTACCATCAAAAAAGGGGAAAAAGGAGAGAGAGAGGAAGGGGAAAACCCTCATAAGGCAAGTGGGAGGGCTTGAGTGTGAGGGGACAGCAGACAGGTAACTGAGGCCCCTCTGTTATCTCAATTAGCCCTTCTTGGAAAGTCAGCATGAGCAAAGATAAGTCTCTGATTCTATCAATCTTCAAAGAAAGTCTTTAGAAAGGAAACCAGGTTTTATACCTAAAAATATCCCAATTACAAGGAACCAAATTTGGATAACAAGAACGGGTTTTGCAGTAAAAGCTATTTATATTTTTATTCAGGTTTTTATTGGAAAAGGGCATCTTAAAACTGCTATCATTTTCAGACTGTCTCATTAAGTACCTGTTCGAATAAATTAATTAAGAATTAGATATTAAAACTGAGTACTGTGATTCGTAAGTTTATCCAATTAGGCAACTTATCATTATTAGGCAGCAGGTAGACTGGTAAGTTTGTGTAGCACTTATGAAGAATAAAACTGTTTCTTCTTCTATAAAGTTTGAAGAGTGGTAAATTTCTCCAAAGCTAACTAAATCTTAAGAATTTAAAAAAATGTTATAAATAGCTAATATTTATAAAAATCATACATAGAATTTTCCTCATGTCTAGTCATAATTGACCTTCTTATACCATTGAATAGAACTTGTACATATTATAAACTCCTAAAAACCTTATAACCATAATCTTAAAAACTAACTTGAGTCCCAATTTAAACAATCACCAAGCAAAACTAAGCAGACAATAAAACTTGCTTTTCTCAGTTGATATTTAACAGATTTTTATTTTCAAAAAGTAGGGAACTGAGTTTGGTCAGCTGTCACATGGGTCCATTTAAGTGGATCTTATCTTCTCCCCACCAGGGAAATCACCAATATCAAGACATATGAGAGGGCCTCAAAGCTTTACCTTATAGAGCCCAGCATCACAACTATTCCTACAATCTATAGTTTGCCAGGACTCTTGGAAATTCAGGCACATGGGAGAATACACTCCTAAATCAGGATTTTATTATCAACATTGATGGTAAGATATAGGCAATTGAAAAACTATACTGAAATGCAAGACTTTGATACACAGCTCATTCAAAAGAAGGACTTTTGATTTAATAAAATTCATTTTATACTAGCAAAATTACAAGCAGTTGCGTAAAGAAAAGCTTTTTGCTAACTGTAAAGTCAGCTATTTTCTGTTACAAGGTGAAAGCAACTGGCTCTTTTTCTTAAATAACTACAGGACTAAAGAAAATTTGGGCTATAGGAAGCCTAGGGAACCAATCCTGGATCTGAGGCTACCATCTTGTATACATGGCTAGACCTTTCCTTTGGACCCCATTTAAAATAAAGGATAAGTAGCAATATTGGTTTTACTTCCCCTTTCTTTTACTCATAAAAAGAATAGTAACAGATAAATGACATTCTTACTCAGTTAGCAATGGAAAATAGACCAAGAATTCAGGAACATCCACAACACCTTCCAAGTTGAAGTCATATTTGCAGCCAAATAAGGGATAATGTCCTTTCTTCTCAAACTTCACAGTATAGATTTCATTTCCAAATGATTCTGTTTCTGAAGCTTCAAGGCGTCTTCTAGAAGAGTTATTCCCCAACCCCAACAAAAATATTAAAATTGTGATCACTATAAATTATTTAAACCAGATTATGTATTTGAAAAGCTATATGATGCAATTGCAAAAGACACTTGATTGACTCTGTAACTGGATTCAAGCTACTTTTAAGAATCAGCATACTATAAGACCATTAACAGTCTCACTAATAAAATTAAGCTAGAAGGTATCACTTTCGTGACAGCTGGGCTAAGTCTTTGGGCCTCAGCAGCTGACTGGGGAGTCTGCCTACAACTATAACCTCTAACTTAATGTAAGTAAGTCTCCAACTTCCACATAAGATTTTTAAAAATTCATCTTTGAGCATCTACTCAAATACATTATCAAAGTGGTCAGCATTTGTAAAACTAAATGGCATATTTGTATAAATTTTATTTGTGATCAAAATGTGCTACTTAATTCTGTAAGCTTAATGTTAAATATTCTATAAACTCAAAGTAGTTAAAAATGCTTACATCAGCTCAAAACTGTTAGGAGTTGTACCAATAAAATAACCTCCAGGACCGAGTCTCTCACAGGCATTTCTGAGCATCATGTCAGCCTGCTCAGAGGACTCAAATGAGTAATGACAGACAAACTGACAACTACAGATGTCAAAGCGCACTTCTGGGTCACGAAATTTGTCAGCCAAAAGTTCCTGAAACAAATTAAATGGGTTAAGGTTTTGAATTAACAGCACAGATTAAAAACTTTACCTAAATTAATTCCCAGAATTTAGGATTCTTAAAATATGCCCTGCCAACTAATCTTTGTTCAAAGTCTTCAAATTGTTTTTTTCCTTGTTATATATAAGAACCTTAAAAAAAAAATCATTCTTTCATTCTAGTTTAAAAGACTAACTTGCTTCCCATTTTCAGAATAATTTAAAAATGTAGGCCTTAGGGTTGGGGTTGTAGCTCAGCGGTCGAGTGCTCGCCTAGCACGTGCAAGGCCCTGGGTTCAATTCTCAGCACCACATAAAAAGAAGTAAATAAAGGTATTGTGTCCAATTAAAACTAAAAAATAAATATTTTTTTTAAAATGTAAGCCTAAAAAATCACATTAAAAGTCAATCAAGCCGGGTGCTGATGGTGCATGCCTATAATCCCAGTGGCTCGGGAGGTTGAGGCAGGAGGATCTCGAGTCAGCCTCAGCAAAAAGTGAGATGCAGAGCAACTCAGTGAGACCCTGTCTCTAAATAAAATATAAAATAGGACTGGGGATGTGGTTCAGTGGTCAAGTATCCCCTGAGTCCAATCCCAGGAACCAGGAAAAAAAAAAAAAATCAAATATGACTCTTAAAAAATTAATCCCTTCATTTGGCTTTACTAAACAGCTAAAGTAAAATGACATTCAATAACAACTTGGGTTAAAAAAAGAGAAAAACCTGACCTTTGGAATCTTAAATAAATACAAGTGTTTACTACATTTCTTTCTTACTTCCAAAATTATAAACAAAATGTGTACAGTGATTAAAGCCACCCAATGTTTAAATGAGCTAACAAAGTCAGACAAGCAGTACCAATTTCACAGTGGATCTTCACTGCTCAAGTACCTCTACAACTCTTCAATCTTAAATAGTTCAGAAATTTCAAAACCGGTGGAAGTGGGCTGGGGAAATAGCTCATTTGGTAGAGTGCTTGCCTCACATGCGCAAGGCCCTGGGTTCAATCCTCAGCAACACATACACACACACAAAAAAGGTGGAAGATGGAAAAAACAAAAAGATTCTGCTATGCTGGGAAACTAATAAATTACAAAGTAAAGAAAACATACTAGGTTCAATTCTACTTAAATAGCCCATCCCAGCTTCATGTTCTACACAAATGGATTCAACCAACTGTGGGTTGAAAAAAAACACATTTGTTATGGGCCAGGCCAAATGGGTAATGACCAAACAGACTCCATTTTACCCTGAGACTCCATATCATGTAAGAAATGCTTCTCCCATGGGAAAGTTCCACCTCTGTACCCATTAACAGTTATCTAGCATAATATACTAATATAATTGGCAACACAAAATATAACAAAAAATTGTTCTCTTCTTTTTCCATTTTTCTTGGGTGATATACCCTGTCAGAGATTGTCTAGACATTAGTATCCATTCTCTAACCTGTACTCAACTAGGGTCATTTTGACCCACTTCCCTTCTGTTTGCTTGCTGCTATGCCAACCTGGAAAGTCCTGTGGGAAATACCAATGTACCCACTGCATTGCCTCACTAACTGCCCAATCCAGCTTCTGTACCTGCTTGCTTACAGCTACATCAACCTGGATGAGGTTTTTGCCTTTAAATAACTTAAAATGCTCAGGCTTGGGGCTATTCCTTGCAGAGACAGTTATGGGTCCTCTGGGGAGCAGTTGCTGGCTGGCCAGCTAAATAGACTCTTCAATTTGGACAAAACTGGCACTTGGTGTGTTTTCTGAGCGACCTGCACCACAACACATTGAATCTGTATACTTTTCTCCCTGTCATTAGTCCCTTAACAATACAGTTTAAGAACCATCTACATATTTTTTACATTATATTAGGTATTGTGAATGATCTAAAGATATTTCAAGTATGTGGGAGTATGTAAATAGGTTATCTGCAAATACTGTGCACACCTCCCCCACATTTTATATAAGGGACTGAAGCATCTGTGAATTTTGTATCTGTGGGTCCTAGAACCTAAACCCCACTTGGCTACCAAGGGGTGACTATATTAGAAAATAGATCTCGCCTAAATCAAAAGGCAACGAAGTAATTTCAACAACTCAAATTATTAAAAGCAAAAAAAAAAATTACCAGAAGTACTCAATGGGTTACTGAAGGGAATTTATCATAATAGAATTTCTAGATGAAACTGAAATTGTCCTAAAATTCTTAATGTTTCAAAACACATTTTAATAAATGCATTGCATGGAAAACAAGAACAAAAACAAAAACTCTGTACCTTTGAACAGTCAGCAGTTATAAATTCTGCATTAAAAATATATTCATCACGACGATTTTTCATGTCCTCGTACCGCTGCTGACACTGTTTGACAGAAATATCAGCAATATCTGGAAAGGCAGAAGAGTGTTAGAGACCATCAACACAGAATGGCAAAAATCTAGACAACAATCTCAACTGATAAACTTGGCATGAAATCCAGCCTTGGTATCAGCAAGAAGTTCAATTTCATTTAAAATTCTTTGTCCCAGTGCAAAACTCCGCATTATTTCCCAAAAGGATCTAGGTTATGATACAAGCACTTCATCATCAATACAAAGCAGCAGCAGGAAATGCCACTGGCCACACTTCACATACTCTTCACCACTATGAACCAACTGGAAAAAGCCAGTTCGCTTAATGTCCTTGATAAGTCACTAAAACATAATTTTATTAAATCTTGGTTCTTAAATACATGTCTTTTGATATTGTGTGTGATGAAATGGGAAGTAACAAAACTTGGTTTTGTCATATAACCAAGTGTTGCCAGTTGCCTTACAGAACAAGCTACTGTGACTTGTTCTGAGTTGTGAGCACATTGGCCACTTTTCTTACAGAAAGTAATTCTGATGTGAAAAAATGATAGGTTAAAAAAAAATGATTATTCAGACTAGAGTATCTTAGAGACATAGATTCTTGAAAATTAAGTGTCACTTCAAAAACAACAATGGATAGTATTTGTTGCCAAAGATAAAATTTGACTTTTAAGCAAAAATTAAAATTCTGAAAAAGCTGTACTGGCCACCACTGGTAAGCAGCTTCCTAATACTTAGAGCTTTTCTCATCAATGGTGATATTAAACAAATGTGATTTCTTGGTGTCAACACTTAGAACTGCATAACTTTGCAGAATTTCCCAAATATTACAAAACCATGCAGAATGTGCAGAACACACTAATGGATTTTTATGGAACCTAGTATGGAGAACTCATCGATAAGGTAAGAGTTTCCACATTATAACAAACCTTTAAGGAACTACCACTTGTTGAGTTTTGATATAGAATCAAAGATGAATATCCACAATTATCTGAAAAGGCTATTAAAATATTTTTTTCATTTTATAACTATGTATCAACTAAAATAACATAAAATATCGACTACAGACACTACCACAAGTCTAGCTGTCTGCTATTATGCCAGTCTTTAAGGACTAGCAAAAATGTAAAGAAAAATACCAGTCTTCTCATGAAGTTTATTTTAATGAATCAAAACACTTTAAAACTATTTCTAAAACCATAAATATCAATCTATAGCTAGAACCACATACACAAAAGCATTCTAGAGTCCTCAATAATTTTTAAAGTATACAGGGCTCACGAAACCAAAACCTTGGAGAGCTGCTTCTCAGGCAAACTGCAGGAGATACTGCTCTCTTTCCTCTGACTCCTCACATCACAAGGAGTATGGCGTCTGCCTGGCTCACCGCAGGGTCAGACTGACCATGGGCCCAGGTGCTAGGAGAGGAACTTAACAGTTAAGTTCCTATTACCCTTTCACTAAATAGCTAAGCATTTTGTTAAGATTGTGGCTTAGATCTATGATTTTCTAACTCTATCATTTGTCCTCTCTTTATTATGATTTTTCAATAAAGAAATTTCCTTTCAACCATCTGGTTTCCCTGAAATACTGTTCAGGTAGGGAAGAGGTAAGAAAAACATTTTATTCCTTCCTCTTAAAGTACTGAGTTACAAAATATAAATCTCTCAGCAACCTCTAAGAGTGAACATGAGTCTTTTTCATTTGACATGCTGAGTCACTGTTGTTTTTGATGTTCAAATTTCTACCTTGGCCAGTGGAGATCTTTGCAAATTTGTCTTGTAGACATGACTATTATCTTTGATAGCTTCCTTCCTTTGGGGAAGAACAAGTTATCACAGGCTCACTATCTATTACAAAATCATCAGAAAAGTCTTACAATTAATTTTTGAAAACATCCTTCTCATACATAGCCCCTAGACACCTTACCTAAAGATGTTTTATCTCTTGCTAATAAAGAGATCTTTCAAATTGCCCATTCCCCTGACTGATAAGACTGATCACTGGCCATTCCTTCCTAGACATGGTTAACTTACCAGTACAAATGAGCTTGCTAATTCTTCCCTTTCTCCACTTTAGCAAATCTCCACCTTTACCACATCCCAGGTCCAAAACAGTGATATCGCGATTTTTCCTCTGTCGTACCTTTTCCAAAAATTCCCCTAAGAGAAAAATCAGGCATAATAAATGATCTTTTCTTAACTTTTACTGAAGCATAAACTGTTACTTAATAACCTACCAATGTCTAATATGTAATATAAATTATTACACTTCGTTTACTTAGTTACCTGTAACTTAACAGTTCAAAATATGACCAAGAATTAACTAACTTGATATATATCTGAAGACTGGCACTTCAGTTTGGCACTTCAGAAAGTTAAGGCAGCTTTTTGAAGGTTACTTTTAGAATCTGAGTCAACATCAAACAGTAAACGTTTCAAATTCTAATTTATACAAGATGCAATAAGAGAAAAAACTATTCATTCTTTCTAGCTTTCTGTTTCTAGGTGTTCAATTACACATTGACTAATAGTTTCTGATTCACATAAAAGCAATCAGGTTTACCACTAAAAGAAAAACAAAAACTTGTTGAAAAACTCTACTCACCTTTTAAGTTTCCGATCATCAGAATCTTTAAACACCCTTATCTACTGAAATACATTAATAGCCAACAAATAAAAATCATAGGTGCCCAAATTAATAACCAAGTAGAGCAACCTCAGTTAAAGGACTGTTAACAAAGTATTCAGCAATTCCAAAACTTGACATAATAAAGAATCCTAGGATCCACTTTGACTGTTTTTATCAGAGTTCAACACTTTCTAGGTTCATGCATGTACTACTATTTTGATGCTAAAACATTCTATACAAATACTTCTGCCTTTCAATGTCTATAAGATCTGAAAGTAAATTTGAGAGAAGCACAAGTGTTCCATATTTAATTTTGTCATGAATCTTAAAAAAATATGAAAACAACCAGAGAGAGTTAATAAATAATTATAAAATCTATTTCTATATAGTAAGGCTAAGAGGAAAATTACCATGAAACATTATTTAAAAAAAAAAACTTTATCACATTCAAGAACTATTACTAAGCTATAAGCACTACAAAAGCAAAAAATGAATAACAAAGAATGTGTTCAGAAGATAAAGAAACACCTAAAGGGAGCTTGGCACAGATCACACTAACTGCATTACAAGCAAGACAGGTATGGACCACAAAGAGCTCTTTGAAAGAATTGCTGCATTTCCTAATTATAAAAATAATGTAAATAAAATGTGGCAAATATGGGCTTAAAATATTTATTCAATGAAAAAAATACATGGTTAAATGATACATTGTTTAAAAAAAAAAATCCAGTAAGTTACCTGCTTCAATGAGGATAATTAAGACAAAAACATCTGAAAAGAAATTAGGACTAGGTCAGAGCCTAAAGAAGAGAGGCTGAGCCCAATACTTTGGGCTGGTTATGTAGCTTAATGGTGGAGCACTTGCTAAGCATATACAAGGCCCTGGGTTCTTTCCCCAGGACAGAAAAACTAAAAAAAAAAAAAAAAAAATAGAGGCTGAAAATGCCACAATGTTAGCCTTAAAAAAAAAAAAAAAAACCCTCAGAGAAGCAGACACTCATTTACCCTAGCCAACAATGGCAGAATCAAATAAATCACGTTTCTATAATGTAATAAGAAAATGTTATTTAATGTTAAAAATTAAAATGACAAAGAAAAATGGTTTGAAATTAGCCTAGTTAATTCCTACTCCTAATGCTTCTCAGAATAGATGATTTTTTTCTTTGAAAACTATTAAGTTATCATCAAAACCAGTAGAAAATACTCATAATTAACACTTTATTCATTCTAATATATTAAGAATGCATTCTTGCTTTTGCTTAAAGTGGCTAAAAAAATAGAACAAAATAACCCTTTTGAAAAGCTTCAAAACACACCAGCCTTCAAATACTCTCTAAACTCGTGTACCATAAGTCTACCCATTAATTATAATTATATTCTGAATTATATTTTGTCCACTCTCTTCCATTTTAATTTCAAAGGTAAGTTTCCATAGATAAAATGTTGGTTTCAAAAAGTTTAATGTTTTTATTAATCCTCAAAGTAAACTTTATTTCTTCTAAGAAATCATCCAACCCCTCCCTTGCAAAAGTTCAATGGACCATCAATGCCAACTCACTAAAGGACCAGAGATTAAAAAACAAACCTAATAACAAATCTCATGATGCGGCCCATTTTCTTTACCTAGTGTAACCAATGCAGCAACAGGCCAATGCTCAACAACTATTAGAGTCAAATAACCACTTAATAGTACTAGACCACCTTAATTCTAAGTAGAAAGTAGCACACTGCTTTTTGAAAAAGTCTGATCAACTTAACATCAATACCGTAGGCAATCAATCAAAAGTATATAGGAGCCATGCACGGTGGTGCACACCTATAATCCCAGTGGCTTGGGAAGCTAATACAGGAGGATGGCAATTCCAAAGCCAGCCTCAGCAATTTAGCAAGGCCCTCAGCAACTTAGTAAGACCCTGACACAAAAAATTTTTAAAAAGGGCTGGAATATAGCTCAGTGGTTAAACACCTCTGGGTTTGGTCAATTCCTGGTACCAAAATGAAAAAAAGAGAAAAAGAAAGTAAATAAGAAAAAGATTTATCTCAAACGTCTGTTTTGGTTCCAGCTTTATAAAGTCAAAGTTTTAATCACTGAATGAATAAGAATTAAAAACCCAGTAGTTTGAAATATGGTTAACAATGGGAAGGGAAAAAATAAAGAGGAAAGCTAGGGCTGGGGATATAGCTCAGTGATAGAACCCTTTCCTAGCAAGCTCAAGGCCCTGGGTTCAATTCCCAGCACTGCAAAATAATTAAATAAAATTTTAAACAGCCTCCATACTAAAAAGAAAAAAACCAACCATACCTATAAGCACACTTTTAATCCAATTATTAAAGTTTCTTAGGTAAAAAATACGACTTTGACTACGTTTGTCCAAACCAACTTCCTTAAGCTCATTATAGTGGGCAGCTACTGTTGAGCTGTGTCCTCCTTCCAAGTTCTGAAATCAGAAGAAAGAAAATTAAGGTTCAAGGTTCAGAACATGGTATAAAAACAATAACAACAACAACAACAAAAAAAGCCCAACAATAGCAACATAAAACCAAATCACCTCAGAATATCTGACTTATGAAAAGAAAAAACAATTACTGAAGTAAACCTTACTAAGCAAAGGCATTATCCATGTAAATGCCACTAATCATTACCAGACCCAAGGTGTGTTCTCCCCTATTCCCTATGAAAAACAATCTAGGTTTAAAATTTTTATATCGATTTTTCAGCTGTATAATTTTAATGACAATATCTTAATAAAACCAATCTATTGTGTTCCAAGGGAATAAAATAGAAACAAGCTATTACATTTGTTATATTATTATAAAATTGTTATGAGGATTAAACATAAGGTAATGTTTAAAGAGATTAAAAGATAGTAGGCAATGCTCAGTGTCAGTGACCCCCACTATATACTATTAATCTAAATCAACAATTTTCAATCTGCATTCTATAAAGACACTAGGCATTATATAAAAATTCCGTAGTGGGTAAAGGACTTCAGATTCTCCCATCTTCCTTATCCTCATCTTTTATCTACCTTACATGTGGGGTTTAAGGATAAAATTTCATTTGGGGAAAAAAAAAAACATGCCAGTAAATCTCTGAAAAACTACATATAAAATACAAGCTTCCCTTTGTTTCAAGAACACCAACATGAAAAGCGTGGCCTGCCTCTTTAGGGACAATGGCCAAAATTTTGCTCCTCCTTTACTTTTCTCTCCAACTCCAGATTCTGTCTCAACTTTCCAATACTGTAAATGATTTGCTATCCTTTGCTCCCCAATTTCCCTGGCAAATATTAGGGAAATTTCATCAATTGTATTTAAACTACACTAATGAGAAGTTTGGTATGGCTGTAGTTCATAGACAAAGATGGCTATTAATTAAAGTAGTGGAGCCAGATCCTCAAAAGAAGTTGGAGATAAATGCAGTTTAATTACATCAATAAAGGAATGTAGACCAGAGTATGATTTTGAAATTTGTCACTTTAAGTGACCATCTTAATTACCTCAGACAAAACCAAAAGAATGAATACTCAATGAAAAGGGAAATAGTAAATAAATCATGTGGACCTCATATATTCTTCTCTTTTTTAAAAAACAATGGCCTTCAAGTTTCTGGTAAGAATTCTAAAATAACATAAAAATTACCTCATGTGATTCAAGTTCACTCTAACAAAAATTAAATGCTAATAATTAAAAGCCTATTGTGTCTTAAAGCCACATTTAGTAAAACTAGAATATTCTTAACTTATAAAGATTATTTAACAACCAGCGTTAATTCACATCTGCTCCACATTTCCAGCTAACATATTCTACCACAAATAAAACCCATTTCACATACCTTCTGCCTTTCAGGAACATCCTCAAGTTCTACTTTTCTCTTTTTCTGGGTGCCATCTCCAGTCGAAGGTTCATCTTTCAAATCATCAGTTTCCAGTTTCCTTTTCCTTGAAACACCTTCAACATCACCAGAACCTTTTTCCTCTGGGACAATTTCAATATCAAGTTTTCTTTTCTTGGATGGACTGTCTTCCTCATATCTGGAACTTTCCTCGACAAGATCATCTTCAAATTCTTTTCTCTTCTTTGGTGTGTCTACTTGCCCACAGACAGAAGTCTTTACAGAAAACCCAGTCCCAGAAGCTGTTGTGGTTTCATCAATACTGAATGAAGTCTCTGTTTCAGAATTTACTGATGTTTTTGCCTGTTCAAGAGCCATTTTTTAATATTCCTCTGCTTTTGCAGAATTTTCTATTCTTGATTATTTGAATCGATGATAAAACTTCATGAACCAACACTAGAATGGCAAGAATTTTACGTTATTTACAAACACTAATGCCCAAACTCTAAGACAATTTTAAATAGAAGCTGGTCATTTAATTTCATTATCTCACTGTAGAGAGAATATTGCAAAATGTTAATATATGTGTATTAGTTATGAATTTCTGTAATTATTCATAAAAATCACTATGGTCATTAAAATTGACAAAAGAAGCAAGGATATACAAATAAGGTGGAGCATCCTAATTCCCAAATCCCAAGTTTTTTACAGTACCCAACAGAAGCACACACTTTATTAGTAAGCAACTGTGGTTAACCGAAAACTAAGCACAAATATTACTCTTTTCCCAATTCATGTGTAGTAATTTTCTAAACTAAAATTGATAGAATGTAAATACTTATTAAATCCTTTGGATTAAACTACTTAATAAAGGGAACTGTTAGATATCTCTTCTGGTTTAAGGGGCTAAGTGAATCAAGAAGAGAAAAAGGAATTGAATAGCAAGAACTACTGAAGTACTTATTTCATAATGGGCATTCCAATTAGGTGAAAAGTGAAGAGAGTTGAAGTGGCTCTAGACAAGTTTCAAGATCAGCCTGCAGTTTAATAACCAGTAAGTTTCTTTTCAAATATGTTCTTTGGCCTACGGAAGGGTCAGGGATAGAACTGAAATATCTTTTGGACAGGAATTATTATGGTGGTTTGCTTATTATGTTAGTAAATTTACTGCTCTCCTATTGCAGAGGAGCTCTATGTGAATTATGTGTTCAAGAAACTTACTACATACATACTACTATTAAACTGTTAAACAGTATTATTCAAAGGAAGTAGAAAAGGGAAAGCAAAAGTTCAACCAAAAAAAAAAAAAAAAGAAAATGCGAGATCTATTAAATATAGATTAAATTCAGAACCTGGAAATTATGAAGAGGGATTTTTTTTTCCTTTTTTTAGCCTTGTGCACAAAGAAAAAGAATGTCAAGTTGCTTAAGGGAATAGATATAAAGAGTCACTATGAGATCCAGATGGATTTCAAGGAACATTAACTTTCACCGGTTGGGTAAGGTATTTTGTTACCAGTACCAAAAGATGTCAAGCAGGAAGAACTGATTGGGGGGAGGAGGGGGGTCAACCAGAAAAGTAATTTGCAGACTAACTATTTAAAATGATTATCTAGGAAAACTGGCCTCCGAATGTTCAGATTTCTATTTCTCCTCCTTCATTTTTTTCTTACAAAGAAAAAGATTTTACGTTCAAATAAAACACTCTGGTTTATCATCTTCCGCTGCAATTATCGCCTAAAATTAGCCCTGGAACTTCAGCGTGGACAGTATTTACAGTATTTACACCGGGCAATCTTTCCACCATGCGCTACATAATCCCCCAGAATAGAGGGCATAGCACCCAGGAGGCCTGCAGTAATGGATAAGGACACTCAAAACCGGGCGTCAACTGGTTCAGGGCTTTGCTGGCACGGGCCTGCCCACTGTGGAGGCTGCACCCCAGAATCTCACAGGCGCACTCTCCAAACCGACTCGAGCTGGCCCCAGAATCCCAGCAGCCGCGGGCCGCAGACGCCGGGGGAAGCGCGGGGGGCCGAGCGAGGCTCTGGACCACGCCTCCGGAGCCGGCTCCGCCGCCGGCCTACACCTCCCAGGACCAGTTCGCCGCCCGGCCGCCAGCTCGCCTGTCAAGCCAGGGCGCGAGACCACGCCACAGAAGGGCTGCCACAGAAGGGCCTCCTCAGCCGCGGTCCCCTTACGTCACCCGAGCGGCCTAACGCTGGACCTGGATTCAGGCTTCTGTGGCGCCGCTCGGACAAAACGAGCCCGCTCCGGACCTCACGCCGGGCCCGCCCCGGGCGCGCGCTGGTGCGGC